GAGGTCCTGGATGACTGGAAAAGGGCAAACATAGTGCCCATATTTAAGAAGGGAAAAAGGAAGATCCAAGGAACAACAGATCAGTCAGCCTTACTTCAGTCCCTGGAAAAATCATGGAGCAGATCCTCAAGGAATCCATTTCCAGGCACTTGGAGAAGGTGATTAGGAACAGCCAGCATGGATTCACCAGGGACAAGTCATGCCTGACCAACCTGATTGCCTTCCACAACAAGGTGACTGGCTCTGTGGATGCGGGGAGACTGGTGGATGTGGGGTACCTTGATTTTAGCAAGGCTTTTGATACGATCTCCCACAGCATTCTCCCCAGCAAGCTAAAGAAGTGCAGGCTGGATGAATGGACTGTAAGGTGGATAGAAACCTGGCTGGAGCATCCGGCTTGGAGGGTAGTAATCAATGGCTCAATGTCTAGTAGGCTGCTGGCATCAAGTGGAGTGCCCCAGGGATCAGTCCTGGAGCCGCTTTTGTTCAATGTCTTCATCAATGACCTGGAAGATGCCATGGAGTGCACCCTCAGCAAGTTTGCAGATGACACCGAGATAGGAGGAGCAGTAAATATGCAAGAGGGTAGGGGTAGGATTCAGAGTGACTTGGACAAATTGGAGGAGGTCATGAGTCATGAGGTTTAGCAAGGACAAGTGCAAAGTCCTGCACTTAGGACAAAACAATCCCCTGCACCGGTGCAGGCTGGGGCTGACGGGCTGGGCAGCAGCCCTGCAGAAGAGGACCTGGGGGGACAGGGGACAAGGAGCTGAACAGAAGCCAGCAGTGTGCCCTTGGTGCCAAGAAGGGTAACGGCATCCTGGGCTGCATTGGCAGGAGCGTTGCCAGTGGATCGAGGGCAGTGATTGTTTCCCTCTATTCAGCACTGGGGAGGCCACATCTGGAGTCCTGTGTCCAGTTTTGCCCCTCCCCACGACAGGAAGGATGTGGACACATTGGAGTCCAGTGGAAGGTGACAAAAATACTTCAGGGGCTGGAGTACATGACTTATGAGGAAAGGCTGAGAGACCTGGGCTGATTTAGTTTCGAAAAGAGGAGACTGAGAGGAGACTTAGCAGTCTTCAGGTGGGGTTTGGGGATGGAGATGGACTGTTCTCAGTGTGGGGAAGATGACAGAACAAGGAGTAAAGGGCTCAAGTTGCAGGATGGGAAGTTGAGGTTGGATATTAGGAAAAAGTTTCTCACTAGCAGACAGGACAGTATTAGGGGCAGCCACTGCTTTTGCCACCTCTGCCCTTGCCCTGGGCTCCCAGTGCAGCTGGGAGTAGACACGGCACGTGGGGCCAAATGTCCAGGACAGTGCTGCTCCATTCAGCCAGCAAACCCAGCAGGGCCTGGCCAAGGTCATGGTTGCAGCCCAGGCTGGGGGTGGCACTGGGCTGTGCCAGTGCTCCTGCCTGCACTCAACCTTGGAGGGTCCTGGAGAGAGGGTCGTGCCCCTGTTCTTAGGGTCAGGGTCAGCTTAATTTCAGGGCATTTGAATTCCCACTGCCCTGGAAGTGCTGCCCTGGCCTCAGGCAGAAAAACCCTGCTCCTGGCAGGGCCCAGAGCACTGGGATCTGAACCCAGGATGGATGAGCCAGGTGGGGACTGGTTTCTTTTTTTGTAAGTGTTGTGTCTTGGCACAAATCAGCCAAATCAGTTCTGATTTCTCTCATCTGAGCAGAGTTCCACATTAGGGATCAGATGCCCCATCTTACCTACACAGAGCCTAGAGGAGGAAGGAGCAAGCTAGAGGCAGAGCCCAGAGCAATCCCTTCTCCCCATCATGGGTGCAACCTAGTCCTGGCCCAGGTACCTGTGATACTGGGGAGGAAGTGAAGCCCCAGACTGGTGCATGGGAAGGAGGACACTTGCCAGTGTTTGAGCCACAGGGCCTTGGGGGAGCTCCTGTCCTACCCAGGCAGAACCGTGCCCTGCTAGCGAGCTGGCCACACACATGGATGCACCCCTGTGGCTGGGAGAGCCCCAGTCCCTGATGTCTGTGCCGAGCTGCAAAGACCCACACCCCCACAGCACCATAAAGAGGATCTGGAGGCTTCAGCCCTGACCAGCCTGCTCCTAAATCCACTCAGGGAAGTGGGTAAACATCAGCACTCTCATCTTTATTCTGGAAGCCCATGGACAGGGACCCCATGGACAGAGAGCGAGAGACAGTCCTCACCCCTGGGCTCCCTGCCCAGCCCCACCACACAGGCCACCCATGAAGGCAGGATGGAAGGAGCAGCATCCACCAGTGCAGGCCTGGGGATGACCCAGCCATTTTCCAGCCACAACTGAGACCCTGGGCCCAGCATCCTTGATCCCTCAGGCAAGCTGTGGGCACCATCCCTGGCATCTCCTGGGTGGGGAAGAGATGCAGTGCTGGTGACATTGCCTCTGTCTTTGGCTGCCACCTCCCTCTTCAGCTCTTGGAGGCTCTGGGGGACTCTGAATGACCTAGAAAACAAAGGCAACAAGCCTGGGACTTGCTGTCTGGGCCACATGGGCCCATTTACACTGCATAACAAGACCCTCTACACTTGCAAGGGGGCTGGGGCATGCAGGGGAGTGCAGGTCCAAGTCAGCTGGGAGACAGGATCACAGCTGGGGATTCAATCTGGGGTCAGGAGTATCCCCTGACATGTATGTCACTGCTTGTGACTCTGGTCCATGACAGGATCCCATGTTCCCCTTTGCACTTCCAGTGCTTGGTGCCTTCTCTTGCCTGCCTGGGATGCTCGGAGTGGGTCGCTTGATGAAATGCCCAGAAAATGCCTCCCACACCTGAGAACCAGGGGCAGGATGCTCCACCCAAGGGGGCTTCTTGTTAGACAGGACTATGCACCTGGTGCACGATGCAGAAGCCCTGGGCATCACCACCCTGGCCTTGCCCCATGCCACCCAGCCCATGTGCTCCTACCCTGATGTTGCAGCTGCTCGCTGGACCTGGACTTGGGCTCCTTCAGGGCCTCATGCTCCATATGGCCGTGGTTCTCCACTCCAGCCTCCTCAGGCTCCATGGAGGGAACACACAGCTTGGACTCCATGCTATAGGACTTCCCAACTGGTGCCCGGCTGGGGACCGGGGTGAGGACACGGTGGGCGTCTGAGTTCTGCAGGGGCCTGGGCTCCTTCTTTCTTGCTCTCTTTCCCAGCAAGGGCATCACCAGCTGCCTGAGGTAGGAGCCTGATACAAAGCTCTGCACAGTCACCGGCTGCCTGGGGACCAGGTCCTGCAGCTGAGAGACCTCCCCCTGGTCTGGAAGGTGCAGATGGCAGGCTGCAACAGGTGGGAGCAGCATGTCAGTAAGGTGCCCCTGTCCCCAGGCTCATGCCACCAATGCCCTGGTTGGCACGAGCCCAGCTCCTGGCTCTCTAATGTGGGCTCCACTTTCCCAGCCAGTGTGGCCCCAGACATCTCCTGTCCCAGACAGCTTCTGGGAGGGCCCAGAGCAAGGGGTCAGACAGTGCCAGGGGGTCACAGCCCCTCTGAACTGGGCTGGGTTAAAGGTAGGTCTGGTCCCCTGTGGCCCAACCATGAACAGAACCAGAGCAGGGCCCATCACAAGGCCCCTTATCCCAGGACAGATGCTGGGTCTGTCCCATCCCCTACTGCTTACTGCTGCTCCTCTCAGTGGGGGTCTCCAGGGCGAGGTGTCCCACGCGGCAGATGTACTCTGCCCCCTGGTCCCTGGATGTCCAGCGGGTGAGTCTCGTCTCCTGCTGGAAGCTTTTCCCGTCCCGTGCCAGGACGGCCGTGCCGGGCTCCACCCTGCACTCAGCCGAGTCCCGCAGGATCACAGCAGTGTCCTCCCCCTTGCGCCTCCGCAGCCAGGTCACGCTCAGCTCCCCCGGGAAATGCCCCGTGATGTGGCAGCTCAGGGTGACTCCCTTCCCCGTGGCCACGGACTCAGGCTGGGAGATTTCGGACACGTCCGGGGGCCGCAGGAGACCTGGGGAAGGGAACAGGCAGAGGCAGGGACAGGCCCTGTCAAGGGAGCGGCGGCCTGGCAGGGGCTGCTCCCCGGCCCCTCACACACCACACAGACCCCACACCCCTGCAGCGGGGCTGGGACCCCAGGACACGGCCCCTCCTCACCCGCGGCCCTCAGGCTGAGCTCTCTCTCGCTCGGGGGCTCTCCGGGGCCGTGCTGGACGCACACTCGCACTCGCAGCTCCGGCCGGGTCAGGCTCCGGCTGGGCACTCTCCAGATGCTCGTCGCGGTGAACGTGCCGTCCGCGTTCTTGTCTATCTGCGCGGGGTCTTCCCTCCAGCTCCCGGCCCCGTCCCAGCCCCACTGGATTGGGGGCACCTCCCTGGGGTAGAAGTTGTGGAGCTGGACAGCAAACGGCACCTTGTCACGGGGGTCCCACTCCGGCAACACCTGGATCTCAGACACCTGCGGCCGGGCTGGAGAGACAGTGGGGAGTGGGGGTTAGTGCCAGGCACTGATAGGATCCAGCTTGGGGGAAATGGATGGTTGGGCCCCCCTAGGAGCTGTGGGGCTGGGGCAGTGCAGTGAGGGCCAGATGAGTCCTGCCTATCCTCAAGAGTTGTTCTGTCTCCAGCTTCATCCCTCCCTGGCTGCAGCAGATGTAGCCACAGCCCGAGGTGGTATCAGGAATGCTGGGATCCTCCTTGTGTGCAATGCGTGTTTGGCACCCCCAGCAGGCTGTGTGGGGCTGAGGCAGTGCATTGAGGGCTGGGGTCAGGCCTGCCAATCCTCAAGAGTTGTCCTGTCTCTAGTTTCATCTGTCCCTGACAGCAGCAGATGTAGCCACAGACAGAGGTGGTATCAGGGACACTGGACACTCACCCCACACCCGGATCTCCGGGGACACTCGCTCCTCTCTGATCAGTTTGGTCTCGTGGAGGAAGATGCACCGGACCTGCGCCCCGTCGTCCTGCAGCGTGGGGGTGAAGGTCAGGGAGGACGTGAGGCGGGTCCCAGCTCTCTCCTCGGTCACTCTGCAGCCCCTGGGAGCGGATGGGGACTGTGGCTGGTCGCTCTCAGGCACGGTCCTTTCCTCACTGTGGATCCACTCCCACTTGATGGTGACATCCTCAGGGAACGTCCCCTCCATGGAGCAGTGCAGGGTCACCTCCTGGCCCAGCAGGCACCGCTCTGGCCCAGCCACCTCCGAGATGGAGTACAAGACTGCCCAGCCTGGGATCAGGGTAATGAACACACAGGACACAGGTCAGCCTGGGACGGGCTGGAATCTGTGGAGGGTGAATCCTGCTGTGGGGAGGGGAAATCCCAGTACAGAAAAACCTTCTCCCCACTCCCGCCTCCCCCCAGTGTTAGTCATGCTCCCATCTCTCTGGCCCATCTCCCTTTTGGTAATCATGCAGCCGAAGGGAAACATCCCACTCTACCTTTTCTCCTATTTGTATGGCAGAAAATGATTATGATGACCACAGTTCCTGCTATCATTATGATGGCTATGATCAGTGTTCTGGTTTGATCCACATCTGTGCTCCGTACTAGGAGGAGAAAACCAGGCTGAGCTCAGCTTTGGTGCATGGCTTGGCATCCTCTGTGCCCCAGCTGCTGCCCTTGCAATTGTGGTCCAGGGTTTGCTCTGGGATGCAGGGGATCCCTGTGCTTGCCATGCACCAGGAATGCAAGGGACTGGATGCAGAAGCCCAGGAGGCCCCTCCAGGCCTGCATCTCCCTGTTTTTTGTTGCTCCAGTTGCTCTGGGAGGGAAGGGACATTCCCCTGGCTAATGCATCCCAAGACCATGTTGGTCTGCAGCTCAGCACCACCTGCATGCTGGCCAGGAGCTGCTCTGTGCTACCTCAGACAGAGGGCAAGGGAATTGCCTCCATGCTCAGAGTCAGGGCAGCAGGCAGGTCCCAGCACAGGCTCTCACCTCGGATGTCCAGGGAGACGTCTTTCTGCAGTGGCTGCTCCAGAGCCTCGTGGTGGACATGGCAGGAGAAGTTGCTGCCAGCGTCACTGTGTGTGGGGCTGAAGGTGTAGGTGAGGGTGAGGCTGAAGGTCCCATCCGGGTTCGTCTGGGGGCTGGAGCGGGTGGAGCCCTTCAGGACCTGCCCGTCTCTCAGCCACACCACGTCCACGTCCTCAGGGAAGAACCCCTCAACGTGGCACAGGAGGGAGGTCTCAGCATCTGCAATGCCCAGTTGTCTTTGGATGGAGATTGTTGGTGCAGCTGGAAGGAGAGAGTCACTGTGCCATGCGGGACCCAAGACGGGGAGTGTGCAAGTACTCTGCCAGTTCAGGCTGGCACTGAGCTGCTAAGGCCATGTGGGGCCTGGGCCTGTGTCAGCCCAATGACCACTGGACAGTCCCACCCCTCTCAAGGCAGGTGTCCAAGGGTCCTTGTGGGGCTGGGAGGGTCAAAGGGGCTAGGACAGCACTGTCCATGTGCCTAGAAGCAGGAGATTGTGCCTCCCTGAGCCGGCACGCAATGCTAGTACATGTGCCCCCTGTATGAGAGGGGATTGAATAGCAGCCTTCACCTCCCTATAGGGTAGGTGCAAAGAGGATGGAGCTGGACTGTTCTCAGTAGGGGCAGAGGACAGGACAAGGAGCAATGGTCTCTAGTTGCAGCAAGGGAAGTTTAGGTTGGATATTAGGAAAAAACTCTCACAAGGATGGTGAAACCCTGGAACAGGCTACCCAGAGAGGTGGTGGAAGCTCCATCTTTGGAGGTTTTTAAGCCGTGTCTAGACTAAGCCTTGGCTGGGATGATCTCGTTCGGGCAGGTTCTGCTTTAAGCAGTGGGTTGAAGTAGATGTGACCTCCTGAGATCCCTTCCAGCTCTCATTTCCTGTGATTCTGTGACCCAGCGCATTTCAGGTGTAAAGGCAAGGAGAGGGGTGAGGATGGGGCTGGGTGGGCTGGATGGTAGCTGACAGCACTGGGGGGCACTTTGGGGGCTCTGCATGGGCAGGCTGCACTGTCAGTGATGCTTCTCAATAGCTCCTAAGTAGGACGCCTCCATGCCCTTCTCAGCTGGGGCACTGGGCAACGTGGACTGGTGGCTACTTCTGGTATGTGGCCTGGCACCTTTTGGGTCCCAGCTGCTTCGCTCACAGTTGTGGGCCAGGGTTTGCTCTGGGATGTTGGGGATCCCTGAGCCCAGCCATACACTGGGAATGCAGGGGCCTGGATGCCCCTCCAGGCCTGTGTCCCTCTGCTCCCTGGTGCTCCAGCTCCTCTGGGAGAGAAGGAGCGTTCCTGCTAGCTAATGCAGCCCCACACCATGCTGGTCTGCAGGCAGCACTGGCTGCATGCTGGCCTGGAGCATCTTTGTGCTGCCTCGGGGAGGGGCAAATGAATTGCCCCAACATTGGGTGGGGGATCCTGGATGCCCCTCCAGGCCTGAGTTCCTCTTCTTCTTTGTGCTCAATCTCCTCCAGGAGACAAGGAGGATTCCTACTGCCTAATACAGCCCCACACCATGCTGGTCTGCAGCTCAGCGCTCGCTGCACGCTGGCCTGGAGCATCTCTGTGCTATCGCAGAGAGGGGACAAGGAAAGCACCTCTGTGTCTGGAGTCAGAGCAGCAGGAAGATCCTGGCACGGGCCCTTACCTAGGATGTCCAGGGTGATGTCCTCCTGCAGTGACTGCCCCAGAACCTCATGGTGGACACAGCAGGAGAAGACGCTGCCACTGTCGTGCAGGTCGGGGGTGAAGGTGTAGGTCAGGGTGAGGCTGAAGGTCTCATCCAGTTTCCTTTTGCTGCTGGAGCGAGTGAAGCCCTTCTGGACCTCCCCATCTCTCAGCCACATCATGTCCACGTCCATGGGGAAGGACCCCGTCACGTGGCACAGAAGAGAGGTTTCCACACCAACCGTAGCTGGTTGTCTTGGGATGGAGATTGTTGGGCCAACTGGGAAGGAGAGAGTCACTGCACCATGCTGGATTGGGGACAGGGGTTGTGGGAGTCACTCTGTGGGGCTGGACTGGCGCTGAGCCACTGAGGCCATGTGGGGCCTGGCCCGCTGTCAGTGCTGATGTTCAACTGACAGACCCCCCGGGCAGGTGGCACAGGAGCCTTGTGGGCTTGGGGGGTTTGGAAGAAACAAAGAGAAGAGGACAGCGCTGCCCGTGTGTCTGGCAGCAGGAGATTGTGCCTCCCTCAGCTGGCACGCAACACCAGTACATGGGCCCCCAGCATGAGGCTTCCCAGTGCTCCTGGTTAGAGACTCAGGGCCCTCCCTATGGCCAGGGTGGGACAGGACATGGCAAAGAGACCCCTGATGTCTGAAACACATCGTACACTTGCCCCCTTGTACAGCTGTGCCATGGGTCTGCTACGACCACGGCTGTCCCCAGAGCCCCGGTCTGGTCCTCACCGAGCAGGTGCAGTCTGGTCTTCCCCTGGTGCTGATGTTTCCTGTGCCACACGACACACTTGTACATGCCCTTATCCCATGGCATCACTGTAGCCAGTGACAGGGAGGCATCTCCGCTTTGCAGCTCCTTCTCCAATGGCAGGCTGACTCCGGACTGGGCCTGGCTCCCGCCCCCGGCGTACCAGGGCCCCCTTACCCCCCCCACCACCTTCACCTCCCCTAAATACCACTGCACCCGCAGATAGTCCAGGGCCACTGGCCCCTCAACAGAGAACCGGCAATGCAGCAGGGCCCCCGAGCCCAGGCGGGCCCAGGAGGAGGGCGCCGTGGTCACCTGCACCTTGGGACCTGCACAGGGGAGAGGAAGCAGCCGTGAGACCCCGTGGGGCCGGGCCAGGCACAGGGGAGACAATAACTGGGACAGGCCGATTCCTGCGGGGACCTGGTGCCACAGGGCAGACCCTGGGCTGGGGGCAGGAGCCTGCTGCGCTTTGGGCATGATTTGACTTCACACAAAGATACTGAGCTGAGTCCGTGACATCGTCCCATGGTGCAGCCACTCCAGACCCTGCATACTCCTCCTGCATACTCCTCCGGCCCTGCTTACTTGCCAGAGCCAGGACAATGCTCGGGGACATTTTTGCCAACCACTGTCCTCTGTGCCAGGCTGTCTGCCTGGTTTGGCCAGGCTGCTCTGTCCCCAGCTGCACACCAGGGCCCCTGGGTGCCAGCAGGGGAAAGTGCTGGATGTGCTTTTTGTGCTGAGATCACCTTAGGGTTTTGTACTTACTAGCACCCCAAACCGCCCCTGCTTATGGGACACCAAAGCTGCAGCGGTTTAATGTGTCCTGGAATCCTGGACAAACACAACATTGCAGGCCCCCTCCCCTCATGGAAGCTGGGCTGCAGGGAAAGGAGACCCTTCCCCTCCAGGTGCATGTACAGGAGGCTGGGGTGGGTGGGCACATGCCCCCTCTTCTCCTTGCTCCCTGCCCCACCTCCCCCGTTATGGCCAAACACACAGGCACCCTTGTATAATACACACACATACACACACAGAGGCACATGCACACAGGCATGCATGCAAATGGGTGCACACTCTACTCTGCACATGGGCACACAGACACAAACATTCTCTCCCAGCCATGAACACAGACACATGCACACACACATGCATGCATGCACACAAATGCATGCACAGATGCATGCACACACAGATAACACAGGCATACACACAGACATACACTCACAGATGTACATACATAGACACACATACAGGTGCATACAAAGTCCGATGCACACATACAGAAACAAATGCATAGAGATGCACACAAAAATGCACACACAGATGTACAGGTTCAGATGCACACACAGAGGCAGTGATGTGCAGACACATGCGCACACTTGCATGTACACACAGGCACACACACAGATGCACACACATGTACTCACAAACATGTGCCCAGACATGTGCATGCACAGAGATGCACACAGATGCACAGACACATAGACAAGCGCACAGAGACAGAAAGAATTGGAGACACACACCCCCAGCCACATCCCTTCGCCTCACAGGACCTCCCCCCTCCTCCCCTTTCCATCACTCTGAGGCAGCCCCCTCCCCAATACTCCCTCCCCACCCAGCCACCCACGGCTCTGTCTTGCCCCCGCCTGGCCCCTGCTGCATGGACCGGCGGGTGCTGATGCCTGGCTGTGTTTGTGCGACCACACACGTGTACAGGACTGGACCGGGTGGTGCTGGGATGGGTGGCTGCAAGGGCTAAGGTGAAATTGGGGTCCCTGCTCTCGGATGCAGGGAAGCAGATGTGAAAGCCGTGGTTTAAAACTTGGCGCCATTTTGTTTACCTGCTGGGAGATAAAAACATGCCAAGAAAAGCAGAGCTTTCACTTTCCTCTGGTGAGGATCCCGGGCCCTGAACTGGTAGTGGGCCCTGGGCTCGTGCCCAGCTAGATCATCCATTAATCTGCCTATGGGCCCACGGCTCCCCCAGACCCGGGCCATTCTCTGCAAACATGCGGGCACCGGGATCTCTCTTTTCCAGGTGTGTTCACGAGGTGGCACCTGGCTGCCCCTGCACTGGGCTGAACACGGCCACCGCAGCCCGGCCCTGCCACCCCTCGCCCCAGCAGAGCAGGGGTCGGTATTTACCTGGTTGCCTCGGGAAGAGGAGACTCAGGAGCAGGCCCACAACCCCGAGGGTCAGGGCTGAGACTCCACGCCATCCTGGCACCGTCATTGTGTCCTCTCCTGCGAGGCAGCATGGATCCCTGGGCCGTGCCTTTGTGCTTTCACCTTCCCCATGTGGCAGGGAGGGGCTGGGGGAAGGGGCCAAGGTGCAGCATGGAGCCAGAGCTGCTCCTCCCACACCCCACAGCCTGCGGGAGCCCGGCCAGAGCCAGCCCTGCCCATGGCCCTGGGGAGAGCAGGGGAGGGCCAGCCCTGAGCTCTGCACGGCGCGTGGGACCCCTCTGCTCCGCATGGCCAGGGGGTAAGTGTGTGGCAGAAATGCCCCGTCGGTGCCCGTCTCCAGAGATCTGTCTCAGCCAGCCTGAGAGGCTGCTGTTGAATCTCTCACAGCGGGGATCTCGCTCCTTGTCTGCAGACAAAAGCCTGGTGCCTGGGAGGCGATGCTCTGGTCACCTGGGCAGGGGGGGGAAGACCCGGCCCTGCGCGCGGGCCCAGGTAGCCAGGGATGCTTTGCAGATTGGACG